ACTGTCCCCACCCACCGCCTACCTGAGCACTTTTCCATAAACCAGGACTATCCTTCCCAACACTCTGGGTATGTCCACATCCTACCTACCATGGCCAAGGTGACTTATTGACTCCCAGAATGAGCAACCCAGAAATTAGCTGAGCACATGAGTGCTTGGACCAAAGACTACATTTCCCAGCTTCCCTTGCATCTAGCAGTGGCCATGTGTCTGCATTCTACCCAATGGGATGACAGCAGAAGCACCCAGACCCAACTTCTGGGACCCTTCTTTAACAGACACCTGGCCAGTACGCTTGACACCCTTTGTCCCTTCCTTTACCCTGCTCTCTGGAAACCAGGGTATAATGGCTGGACTCCGGCTGCCATGCTGATGGCACAACATGGCCTCACCCCCAGGCATGCTGGAAGGGGGTTAGCTGGAAGGACCTGGGTCTGAGGACTTCCTGGAGCAGAACCTCCACACCAGCCCTGGGCAACCTCCAGACTTTAGGGCACGCACCCAGGAAACAAAATGCCATCTTGTTCAGGTCACTGTCACTTTGGATCTCATTATACATGGACACCCTGAATCCCGACCACCTTTCTTTGCTGATCCACTCTGCACTAAGACAGTAAGCAGATCCAATAGCCATGAATTCTAAAGCCATGAATTCTAAAACTGCTGCCTGCTTGCTATGTCACTTGGTTAAGCGCTTTCACCTGTGTTTTTCCTCCGATAAAACGGGAGTGGTGGCCCTGACTTCCCAGGGCTTCCCTAGGGCCCTGTGGTAATGCACAGCAAGGGCCACACTGGTCAGGCTAACTGGCCCACACAGTCAGAAAGTGTACTCTATCTGGCCCAGGCAACCAGGATACTTCACAATCAAAACAAACAGATGCACACAAAGAGAGGCTTTTCAGTTTCTCTTAAAGCCATGGCAGATCTGACAACCCTGGCGGGGCCAAGTGCCCACAGTCCCCCCTCCTTCTGTCGGCTTAATTCATTTATCCCAGAGCTCCATGAGCTTTTTCTATCAGGAGCCAGCAGGTAAATATTTTAGGTTTTGCAGGACACTATGGTCATTCTGGTTTTCTCTCTCTCTTTTTTTAATCAACCCTTTCAAAAAAGTACAAAGCTCTGTTTAAAAATCCGCTGCAGACCTGATCCAGCCCAGAGGCCCTAACTGATACTATTACCCTTTCCCCAGCTGCACCCAAAGTCAAGCACTTGCGTCTGTCCACACAGGTTTATGCAGAGCATGGCGCACAGTAAATGCTCAATAAATGACAGCAGCCAGTTGCACCTGCCAGGCCCCTCTGGAACACGATTGTCAGCCCCCACTTGACACTGAATGTCCTGAAGGCTGAGCACACAACAAACTCTTCTGTACCCTCTCCCCTCCCCAGATGTCAGGGGGGTACCAGGAGTGTGACTGAAGAAGTCACAGGGTTCCTGATTCTGGGGCTGCAGGCCATTTCCCACCTTGTTTTCACAAAGGGTTTTTCTCTGGGGTTTCCACACCCTGGCATGCCCCTGAACACACTGAAACTCAGCCCCTGCCAGAGCCAGTCCAGCTGTACCTCTCTTCCTAGCCCAGGGGGTGGGGAGAGTCCAGAGAACCAGGCAAACTGATTCACACAGACCAAGAAAAGAAGTGACAGTCATCTTCAGAAAGGGCACCAAGGGGCTGAGGAACCCAGAGGCTGTTCTGCTCTCTGCCCCGCCACCCCCCCCATGGGGTCCCAGAGAAGCTGCCTCCTTTCAAGGGGAGGGCAGCCCACATCCAAGAAGGCCAGAGGCTACGCCGAACTTCCTCATGGCCCAGGAAGCCTGCACCTCTGCCCAGGGAAAATGGCCTGGTTTTGGTAGCTGCCATTTAGCCAATGCCATGGACCCAGGCCAGGGTGACATGGAATGACAAGGAATGGGCAGGGTTACTGTTCCCAGCAGGGTGACTGGGACAGGGCTTTCTGCAGCTGTCGCCTTTCCCACATGGAGGGGCAGATGTCAAGACAAAGGGCTGCCTGCTCTGCCATCCGAGGCAGGGGTCCCAGCCCTGGGATCCCTCTCCCATCTGCAGCGGGTACAAGACTGTCCTGCAGCAAAAGGGGCTCCCTGCCATAAAAGCCAGCTCTTCCCCACTCCACACCAATAACATTCCCGCCTATAACACCTACTGAAAACATCTACCCTTTACCACCGGGCACCCTGCTCCAAACCACTGACATTCCCAGTCCCAGGTGGCATTATTCCCATTGCAGATGAGGAAACCGAGGCTGTGTGCAGGCAAGTGATGCTACAGGTGAGAAAAGAGGCTCAGGGAGGTGAACAGCTAGTTTAAAGCCACATAGCTGGTGACCCGAAGCAGTCAGATGCCATGTTTGGAGCCATTATCAGCACCCAAAGATAACCCGGGCTCACCACCCACATGGAAGGCACAGGGAGAATGTGTGCAGTGTCTTGGCCAAGCCCCCATCCCCATCCACACACAGATTCGAATCCTTGGGTCTGGAATCCCAAGCAGTTCTCGGGACTTTGCCTCATGAGGGACAGGTGAGCAGAACAGGGCTCCTGACGCCTTCCCACCTGGCCTTAGCATTCAGGTCCCAGAAGGGTTCCAGCTGCAAAATGCTGAGGCCAGGGAAGGGAGTTCGTCCCCAGAGAGAAGGCCTAAAGCTCCAGCAGCCTGGGTCACCCCCAGGCCATCCCAGCTGCCACATCCCTCCATGCACATCCCTGAAGTTTCTGGACCACCTCTGACTTTTCCCCAGGGATTGCTGGCCAGCACTCCCCAGCCTGGGGGGGACTGCTCTCAGATCCAGGATGGGATGCAGCCCCACACCCCAGCCCTGGGACGTCATACTCCCCAGGCACACCTCAGAGCAATCCCTGCCCACACGCCCACACTCTCCAGGCCCGCTCAGGAGCCGGTGCCACCTCGCCTTAAGCAGTAACCCAGCCATCGCCAGCCCGTTAAGGAACAGGTGCTACCTCCAGAGAGGTGTTCATTTACTGAACAAACATATTGTGCCATACACGGTCCTGCCATCACCCCCTTCTACCAATGAGGAAACTGAGGCACAAAGGCTCACAGCTGCTAGCGGGGGACCAGTCTGGCCCGTGTCCTAGACCCTAAAATAAATGTCCATGGCCTAACCCCCCGAACCTGTGAAAGTGACCTCATTGGGAAAGAGTATTTGCAGATGAAAGTAAGGCTCTTGATTGTAAGATCATCCTGGATTTAGGGTGGGCCCCAAATGCCATGGCAGGTGTCCTGATAAGAAAGGCGTGGGGACTGGGGAGAGTCCATTCAGGAGAGACAGAGCGAGGGGTCCCATGGCCACAAGCCCAGCAAAGCCTGGATCCAGCAGAGGCTGGAGGAGACAAGAAACGATTCTTCTCCAGAGCCTCTGGTCAGAATGCAGCCTTCCTAACACCTTGAATTCCCACTTCTGGGACTGTTTCAACCCAGACTGAGAATCTCAATTTGAGAAGCAGTGGACTCTCTCTCCCTTCACTCCACTTCAGTTATAAATTACCTCTAAAGAGAACTGCTACATTCTAACTTAGTAGGAACAATTTCAAGATTATTCACAAAAAGAAAACACAGAAAGGAAAAGCCCTCCTGGGGTAAGCGCTCAAGAATAGGAGAAACCAAGTGTGGAGAAGACAGGATCTCTCTGTGCTGTCTGCCCAATAATTCTATAAATCTAAAACTGTTCCAAAGTCAAAAAAAGTCTACAACAGAAAAACCACGTCTCCTGGAATTCCCTATTTTGAGAAACGCCATTTGCTCTGCTCCCCATTAATCCCTGCCCAGTCGATGGTCATGTTTATGATCAGGGGATCCTGCCCCAGGAAAAAGAGGTGTGACACTTGGGACGCAGACACAGCTTCCCTGAGTTCGGGTTTTTCCAAGGCAAGGTGCAGGAAAAACCCTGTGGGAAGCAACTGCCCCAACACACTTTCCTCTGGAAGACCCCAATCCCCAAGGGACACAAAATTCACCCAGGTCAAAGCCAGTAAAGGCCTCTTCAGTGGCTCCCAGAGTGTCAGCTAAAGGAACCCTGAGAGACAAAGCTGAATGAAACAGAAAAGTGAAATGTGAACAGGGAATCAGAACATGTAAGAGTAACAGCAAGAGAAAAGATGAACTACAAAGACTAGGGGTCCTTGCCAAACACATCATTTTTTTTTCCATCCACTGAAATGTCAGTTTTGAAACTAGCTTCTGAAAATGTAACCAGCTTCTCACATCCCCAAAAAGGACGATCAGAGAAGACCGTGGTGAGGGAGGAGACTGTTACCACTTACTTCGGAACATGGCATCAAGACGGGGACCTAGACTCCCACGTTTCCACCAGGGCACATCCAGCGACTCGCACAACCCGCTCGTGGGGCCCTCTCCCCAGACCTATGAGTTCCCCACCGGGGGTCCGCAACGCCAAGCCCTCCACACGGGGCGGGGAACGTGGTCCTCCAAGCCGCCCCAGGCCGGGCACTACTCTCCAACCGTCCCTAGCAGTCCGGAGGGTCCCCTGACATGGCCAGAGGCTGCCCACACCCGTCTCTCCTTCCCAAGAGGGCGGCCACACCCGCCCCGGTACCCCACCTCTCCCAGCACCCAGACCCCTTCCCTCCTACCCAGCCCCCACACCCCTGCTTCCTCCCAATTCACCTTCCACTCTCAGCCCCCCACTTCCTGCCCAGCCCCTCCGAATCTCAGGGCCCTCACTGCCCCCGTTTCCCGCTTCCCTCCACACTCGGGGCACCTCGTCTCTGCCCCCCACGCACGCCCTCTTTTCTCGCGGCCCCATGACACCGTTCCAACGCACCCCTCCTTCGGGCCCCCACACCCAGCTCCCCCGGCTCGGCTCCACGGGCCCCACAACTCAGGGCCCCTTCCCTCCGGCCCCCGAGCCCCTCACCGCGGGCGCGCCCCTCCCGCCACGGGCCCCCGCCCGGCCGGCCTCGTGGGCAGCCCCGCGCGCTGTCCGGCCCCGGAGCCCTGCACTCACGGCTGTAGAGAGCGATGCCCGCCGCGTCCGGGCCGGCGCGCACCTCGAGGCGCAGCGCCTGCTGCTCCGCGTGCCGCTGGATCTCGCCGTTCGCGTCGCCGATGGTGAGGAGGCGGGCGCCGGGGAACACGGACACGGCCGCGCAGGGCCCCGTGCCGCTCGGGACCGCCACCCCCGCGCCGCCGGCGCCCGGCCCCGCCGCCGCCGCCGCCGCTGCCATCTTAGATCCGGCTCCAGGCCCCGCCGCTGCCGCCGCCGCCGCCGCCGCGCCCGGGCCCAGGCCCCCGCCGCCGCCGCCGCTGCTGCCGCCGCCGCGCAGGCCGAGGCTAAGGCCGAGCCGGGCAGCGCCGCCTGCCGGCCACGCGCCGTCGCCGCTACCGCGGCCCGGCCCCGTGACGTAGCGCCCTCTGCCGGCGGCCCTGGGAGCGGGGAGGGAGGGCGCCGAGATGTGGCCCGCCCCGCGCAAACGGTCGCCGCTTTGTGAGGTGGCTCGGGGACCCAGGAACGGCGGGGGCGGGCCGAGCACCAGGGGGCGGGGCTAGGCCGCGCAGGCACGCCCTTAACCTGGGCCCCGCCCCCGGCCCGGAGCCGCTCGAACAGCCGCGCTGAGTAGTCGGGCGTGGAGGCCCAGAGGGCGGGAGCAAGGCCGAGTGCGTGGGCACGCCCCTGTCCCCGCCCCGCGCCGACGGCCGCTCTTCGTGAGGCAGCCTTTCTGTCTGAAGAACGGCAGGGGCGGGTCTGATGCCTGTAGGCCCCGCCCAGCATTGTGGAGGAGTGGCTAAGTCATGGTCACGCCCCCACACACCGTGCCGCCCCCCTCCTCCCCCCGCGCCTCCCACCCACCCACCCCAGCCCGCCTGGCTGGAAAAGCAGTTCGTCCGCGCCCACCTGAGCCAGGTAGAAAGGCCCAATCCTCCAGCCCTCAGCCATTCTTTCCCTTTCCCATCATCTCCGTTTCCTTTCCCCATGCCCTCCTTCTCCATCCTGGCCTTTCGCCGTCTCTTCCCCGACAAAAAATTTCTGGACCCTCCTTCTGGGTCCCTCCATTAAACTATTCCTTTCCCAGTGACTCTCCCTTACCCCAGGTATGGATGGCCAGTGAGTCCAGCACAGCCGGACCAAGTGTCCCCCCACTTCCACACACCCACCCATCCATCTTCCTTCCAGATCCCCCCTCCACTGTTCCAGGGCCCCATTTTCTTGGGGGGGCATCCAAAGGAGCTTCCCATCAAATCCAGCGCCAACCCTTCCCTGGACCCCCTCATCTACTGTTCGTCCTCCTCAAAGTCCCTCTGCCCCTACCCCCATTATTCTGCTTCCTGTGCCCACCAATGCAAGGACTGCAGCAGGGACTCCACATGGCACTGTCACCCTCCCTGTAGCCCCATGGGCCTCCCCATCCACCACCTTGACTGCATGCGCTTGAGGGGTACTGCTCCCTCCCCCCAGGTATCAGGTCCTGGGCTTGAAGGATCACACTCCATAGAGGCCTTGGGAACAGCTCAACACGTGTTGTAATGAATAACTTAGGCATGTCAGCAGGGCAGACACACAGAACATACCTCTGGGTACCCTGTGCTCCAAAACCCAGTCGGCTTGGCCAAGTCAGGAATGGCAGGCGGTGGAGGAAACTGAGAGGTATGCTGGGGGCTCAGACCTCTTATGGCCCAGCTGGGGTCCAGAAGGGGTGCTAAACATCTGCCCTGGTGGTCCGAGAAGCTGGGAATCCAGAGAGAGGCTTCCTGCTTCCCTCCAGCTCCGGGCCAATGCCTGTGGCCCCTCTCCCTCTCCTGCTCTTCTGGGGCAAAGGTCCCAAGCAAGGCCAGGGGTCCCCTTCATTCCTCTGTTCCAACTCCCTGAGAAAGCAGCAGCCAGAGCCCCCTAAGTAGCTGGGGAGACCTCAGGCCCCACGTGGCCCAGCCAGCTCAAGGGAGAGGGCTGAATGGAGGTGGTGCAGACAGAGAGGAGGCCGCCCGACCCTCAGCCTCACTGGCAGGCCCGGAAAGTGCTGAACTCGGGGATCTCAGGCGAGGATGATGTGGAGGTGGGCCTCTTCCGGGGCCCCACGTGGCCAGGTGTCTCCGCAGAGCCGGAGCAAGCATCCAGGGTGGCTGCGTTTTCTTCTGACATTTTCTTTAGAGGAAAAATAGACAAGCAGATGATTCGGGGCTTCAGGATCTAGGCTTTGCCCGTGTTCTGAGCCTGCGACTCCCCTGGTCCATCGGTCTCAGCTCACCCCCATGGCCCCATACAGACATGCACCCAGCTTCAGAGCCATGATCCTGCTTTCAGTCCACCTGCCTCCCTCTCTGACAAATGGAACCACACAAGCCTGGGTTCAAATCCCACCTCCATCTCACCCAAGTGGTGGAACCTCAGCTGAGTGACTTAATCCCCTTGTGCCTCGGTTTCCCCTTTCCCCTTTTCCACAATGGAGAGAATGCTAGCACTGCCCCCCTTCCAAGCATAAAGGAATTAAACAGATAAAGTGCCTGTGTTAAGCAAAGCACTAAGTGTTATGTGAACAAAGCTATTACTATTATCTCCTTCTCCCCTCCATTCTGGGCTCCCTCAAAACCTTCCTCAAAAGCCTACCACCTCCTCTGCTTTGGAGGTTCCTGCTCCAAATGCCAGTCAAGCAGACATGAACTTGCTAAAACTTCTACTCCCAGTCTGCACCTCCCTAGATGGGCAACCCCAGTAATGCCCATAACTAGCTTCAGTGTCCTTGTTTGTTACAAGAAAAACCTCCACCCCACCTCTACATGGGTTGTTAAAAAGTGAATATCAGACCCTCAGCACAGTACAAGCTGGAGACCTGTCAGCTGCTTCATTTTCATTTCAGCCAACAGCTTTCTAACGCTTCAAAAGGAAACTAGAATTAAAAGCAGGGACTCACACAGATACTGCACACCCGTGTTCACTGCAGCATTATTCACAGCAGCCAAAAGGTGGAAGCAAGTCAAGTGTCCATCAACAGATGAACGATGAATGGATGAACAAAATGTGGTGTATCCATGCAATGGAGTGCTATTCAGCCATAAAAAGAATGAAACTCTGACATGTTACAACATGAATGATCCTTGAAGACATGCTAAGTGAAATAAGCCAGACACAAAAAGATGAACAGTGTGTGCATCATTTCTGCATGAAATGTCCAGAATGGGCAAATCCACAGAGACATGAAGTAGATGGTGGGGGCCGGGGGCTGGGAGTGGGGAGGGAGAGGGGGAGTTCGTGTTTAATGGGGACAGAGTTTCAGTTTTGCAAGATAAAGTTCTGGAATGGATGGTAGTGATGGTTGCCCAGCATGTGAATGTGCTTCATGCTGCAGAATAATGCTCTTAAAAGCGGCTAAGATGGTAAACTTAATGTTGTATATTTTTTACCATGATGATAAAAACAGAAAGATCACCAGAACTTACTGTAAAAGAATGACCGCGATAGCAATGTAGATAACATGCTATCACTTGTGTTAAAAAGGGTGAGGCTACAGAATTGCTATTTTCATCTTTGTTTATATTTGCAAGAGCTCCTAATGGGGGTAATCTGTGTATTTGTCAAGGGGAGACCAGCAGGTAGAGAGGGGTTAGTGACAAAAGAAAACTTTATACATAATTTTACCATATGGCTGTATTTCATATGCAAAAATGTCTTTAATATATTCATATAGTCACCAAGACTAAGATACTGAGAAGTAAGTTATTTTTCTCCTCGTTTTTCTGTTTTCCAGTGTTTCATCTTGAATGTCTTTTTAAAAAAGGAAGAAGGAAAAAAATCATCTGGCTAGTGCCTTGAAGAGCATGATTTCTTGTGGGAAGTTTTAGGACTTGCCCTGGGTCCCGAGTTTGTAACTGCTCAGGATCTGTTCTGGAGCTGAGACCTCAGAGGCCAAGCCCCCCCTTCCCCGTGGCCGGTTTAAACTGCCCTGCTCCATTCTCCGTAACTGCAGACCCAAGTGTCCATCTGCTCTTGGGCACCACGGGTGAGGGGGTCAAGCCTCTTGTGCCTCCAAACTTGCTCTTTCCCAGGCCTCCCGTATGCTGCCTCCTCCTCCCTCTGCCCATTCATCCAGTCCAAAATCAGCGCTGTGGTTCCCGTCCCTGGATCTACCTGACCTGCATCTGTTTGCTGCTTCCGCCTCCGTTGCCAACACGCTGGACCAAACCACTCACCACTTAGCAAGTGGACCAGCTCGATTCGCCTCTGTCCTGGGCCCCCATCTCAGGTCTCTCAAGCCCCGCATGTTTTCCCTGAGGCCGCCAGAGGGCGACGGCGAGCACCTGAATTGATTCACTTGGCTTCTCTGCTCCCAACCCTCCGTGACTCCCACCTCATTTGGGGTAGGTCAAAGCTCTCCGTGGGGACCCCTGGAGTCCTCATGCTGCATCACCCCTGTTACACCGGGCTGTGCCAAGAAGGTGGCGTGAGCCTGGATCGACCTTCCACGGCTGCTCCCTGCTTGTGCGACTCTAAGACCTCCTGGACCTTCCATCTAGGTGGGAAGGGAGCTTCCCAGTCACCCCTGCCCCATCTGATATCGTCTGCCTCCCCCCATGGAACTGAGAAGCTCCACGGGAGTGAGGCCCTCGTCCTGTTCTTGTCCAGAGGCCCAGGAAGGGTGGGCTGAGCCAACCCAATCCTCCTCTCTGCCATCATAGTGCCCCAACTAGACCTGCTCCACCCCAGGCTCCCTGATGACAGTCCCGAAGCACCCATGTGTCCAGATGGGACCTCTGAGGCCACCTTCAGTGGGGCCATCTGCACCACAGACCTCTCTGTGGAGAGGAGCTGGCTGAACATTGATCCTAAGTGTTCATGGCTCAGATATCTCTAATTCAGTAAGAAAATAATAAAGTACGAAGGCCAACGCCACCCCAAGATGGAGCTGTGCAGAGAAGTCCCATAGACCCAGGCTCAAATCCGAGCCCGGACTCTGTATGATCTGGGGGTGCAACACCCCTTGCTAAGCGGTGGTGGGGGTGGTGAGACCCTCCCCACTGAGAGAGAAACACATAGCTGGGACATTTAAGCTGAAGTTCCTTAAACTGGACACGAACGTAGGCTTTTCTTTACACCAGGAGGGGACAACAGTTTATATTAGATTGTTACAAGTCTCCATGACCCCAAAGAAGCCACCAGATCAGCCTGAGTCCCGTCACCATTCCGCACAGACAGCATAACCCTGACAGCAAGCACCCCCAGGGCCTGGCCACTGTCACAGGAAGGCGTGGATACCATGGCTGCCTCCAATTCCCTGCAATTTTTCAGGCCAACTCTCAGCCCACAAACAAATCCTTGCTCAGTGCTTCTGGGCTTTTCCCAGGCCTTCAAAGCTCAGAGACAGCAGGTCAACCCAGCCTGGTGGCGGCCCCCCGCCTTCCCAGGGCTGGTCAGCAGGAAACCAGGACCAAGAAACGGAGCCACTTACCATTGAGATGGCAAACAGGGAGTTATCAAAGGACATGTCTGGAACAGAAAAAGTCAGGAAAATCAGACCTGGGGCCAGTTTAAAATCCCTGCTGATCACCCTCTCTGGGCCCAGCCCCCAAGCCCACAGCCTCAATATTAACCAGCAGGAAGGGAGTGCGGCCCATCTCCCAGCATCCTCTTTGCCCCCTTCCAGCCCCTTCTGCAGGGTGAACCATTCATGGCTGCAAACTGAACCATGACCCTCTTCTGCTCAGTACCCTCCTTCAGGGGCAAGGCTGCCCTCCAGAAAATGGGTGCATCTCAGTTCCCACTTTCCGGAACACCTCTCCTCGGATCATCCACTCTTCACCCAGCTACTCCTGCTTAGACATCACTTCTTCTGGAGACCTCCTTCTTAGCCCCAGACAGGGTCTGACCTGCTATAAGCTCTTTCCCCACTGGAGTGTGGGCTTGTGGACAGAGATCATCTCTGTCTTGGTCATCCTGGGAACCTCCCCAGACCTTAGCACACAGTAGGCACTCAATAAATGTGCGTCACAGTGAAAGGAGTACAGAGAAGGGAGTTTCTCCACTTGAAGGCCCTTCTGAATATCGCAGGTCACAGCCTGGTTGCCCCGCGCCCCCTGGTGGAAGCCTGCAGAACGACATGTTAGGACCACAGGCAGGGTTGCCTGGGCCCCTGAAAGGGTCTAAGGTGCCCCAGGGGACAAACCAGGTGTAGTCCGTGCCCCGTGGAGCTGGGCATCCAGCAGCAGAGGCGAATATCACATACACAGCAGGCAATGATTACTTGTGTTTCTACTGAGGAGTCAGAAGAGGCATGTAAGCAGGAAGCACAGACCTTCTCTAGGGAGTCAGGGAAGGCTTCCTGGAAGAGGTGGTCTTTCCACTGAGACCACAAGGAGGAAGAATGTTTCAGGCAGAGGGCAGAGTGAATGAAAGGCCTGAGGATGAGAGGTGAGAGGTGAAAGCTGGAGGGAAAGAGGGTGGCGGAGGGGAATGGGGAAGGGTGTGTTCTTGACCCTCAGGGAAGTGAGCAGCCGCAGACGAGGTTCAGCAGCAAATGATGAGACCTGAGAGCGTGTTGAGGCAGTGACCTTTGGCAGGCGACAGGAGCAAGGACACACGAACCTGTGTTGGTGAAGGCGACCTGGGCCCAGCAGGATTCTCGCTCTCTGCAAAGGGATTTGGGGGAGAGAGATAGTCGCTGGTCTCAGGCAGGAAGCCCTGGCTCTGAACTGGGCCTTCTCTTCCCACCCACCCTCGTGTCCTTCCTGAATCCCCACTGGTGGAAATTCTCCTGCAGGAACCCCACAGCCAGGTGAAGCCAGGATTCCATCCCCAGGGCTGCAGCTAGCTCTCAGCCACCAGGCAGCAAGCAGGGGCTGTCCACCCTGCTTGCAGAGTGGAGAAACTGAGGCAGGTGCCAGTTGGGACATTCTGATACTCAGGAACCAGAGCCACTGCCTACGGGCTGCATGCTGGGCGTTGCACACCCCTAGGGGGTGCCACTTGCCTCCCCCAACTGTGGATTTCTAGGGGATTATGACTATTTCTGGCAGCCGGTGAGGAAGACCCAGCCACTTGCTCCCTGTGTGATTGAGCGCTGAGCCTAAGTCTCATCTGTAGGATGAGGCTGCAGCGTCAGCTTTCCAGGGCTGCTTGCTGTGAGGATACTGTGAGCTCCTGACTCAGAACCTTCTGGCACACCACCCAGCATTCCCTAGGCACCTCATAAATGGCCCCTGTTCCTATTCAGAGGTCCTCCCACCAGAGGGCACTAATTGGAGTGGAGCCCACCCGGCCAGGGAAGTGTCCTCTGTTCCCAGAGCCCGGCCTCTCTTTGAGTCCTTAACACCCATCAGGGAACTCCCACACCGGGACTATTTCCCCAAAACCACCCTCCGAGGGTCTCCAGAGACCATCTCACCTTTTCTTCTGCAATCTTTTTACTGTAACTGGAACAAAAAATAAACAAGCGTTTATTAGATTTTGGTTCTCCTTGCATCCCGGTTGCAGAAAGCCAAGAAATCAAAAGACCTCAGCATATATTTGTGACCCAGCCTTGCCTATGCCCTGGCACGTGGGCCGCTCAACAGGACAGCTACTGCAATCATGTTATCCCCCAATTACATGAGAAATGTGTGTTGGTAAAAACTTCAAACAAGGAGCAAGCATATAAAAAAAAACATTACTTTCCGTGGGTGCCGTGGGTTACGGGAGAGACGGGGGCGTTAGTGTTTCAGGGGGACAGAGTTTCAGTTTGGGTAGATGAGAAGGTTCTGGAGATGGACGGTGGGGATGGTTGCATAAGAAAGTGAATGTATTTAATGTCACTGGACTGGACATTTAAATAAGAGTTAAAATGTTAAATGTTATGTTATGTGTATTTTGCCACTAAAAACTACATACTGATTTTGCCTGCCCACCACTTTGGAGGGTTCTTTATGGTTAAGTTTTGGAGTACGCTTCCGTCCTGCTAAAATATGGGTGTGAGGAGTGTGACGCATTCACACGTTCCATGGGTTGCACACTGTGGTCACGCTCTCTCTTTCTGCTGTTACCTTTCCTGACCACCACAGCAACAGTCACCAGCCCAATGAGGAGGAGGGCCCCAGCCAGGCTCAAGCAGAGGGCCAGGATCCAAGTGGACGCTGCAGGAAGATGGGAGGAGAGTGGGCAGGTCATGGAGTTGCAGGGCACAGAGAGAAAGTGGACACCTGTTGGTCTTTCAGGTTACCTTTAGGGCGCCAGCCCTCTCCACAAACCCCTCAGCCATTTGTCTTGGGTATAGCTGGACTCCCGGGATCTAGCAAACCTTGAGTGGTCAATTAGCATATTTCCTCCCCCTGGCCATCGTGATTGGTTAGTTCAGGGATGGGCATGTGGCCCAAGCTGAGCCAATGGGAACTCATTCTGGAACTCCGCCCGGACTATTAGGAAGAGAGGTTTACTCCTCTGAGCAGCATTACAAAGCTGGCCAGTTATAAATCTGGAGCTCTTGGGCATGATTTTGACACCTGAGAATAAGACACAGAAGAAAGCAGAACTGAGAGGGTCAAATGATTCCTCACATGGTCGAGCACCTGGATTCAGGCTTAGATCTGTTAGTCAAGTTTCCAGTTACTTGGAGCCTGAAGAGTTCTGCTGGCTTCAGCCTGGGTGCCAGGGAATCAGACAGCAACCACCCCAGCCCCACGGTGGGCCCTCAGGCCCGTGCAGAGGTCAGCCACCGAAGAGTTTACTTTTCTGCAAAGAGTCAGCTGCCTCTCCCTGGAGAGAGAGGGGATCCCTCAGGGAGCTGGGAGGAGATGCCCTGAACCCCATGGTCACCAGGAGCTAAGCCAGGAGGGGGAAGGAGAGATGCACACATGAGATTCTCACACTGTTAGCCCTTGTCTATTCATTCCCTGGGGCAGGAGGGATGCTGTCACCTCCCCACTCTGAGCCCACAGCCCAAGGTGAGAGAAGGGGGCCTTTGAGAGTGGGGCTCAAGGACACAGAGACCGTTCTGTCATCCCCACCGCAGGCTCTGCTAGCAACAAAGTCCTCCTTACAACTGGGAAGTTCTGCCTGATGGTGATGCAGAGACACCACCGGGAGGCTCCTCCGTGCCTCGCTTGCCTTGACGCACAGCCCACACGCAGCTCCTGTCTCACGACCCCAGAAAGACATCAGCCTTCCCAGGGCTCCCGTCTCACTCAGCCCAAAAGCCAAAGCCCCTTCTGCAGCCACAGACCCTGCACCATCCTCCCCGTCACCTCCCCGCCCTCGCGTCCCCCTTCTTTCACCCTTGCTCACTGTGCTCCAGCCAAATGGGGCACCTCCGTGCTGCTCAAACACACCAGGTGTGCTCTGAGCTCAGGGCCTTTGCACAGGCTTTTGCCTCTGCCTGGCACCCTTCTGCCCCAGACACCCACATGGCCGGCTCCTCATCATGCAGGTCTTTGTTCACATGTCACCACGTCAGAGGCCTGCCTTGGCCACTGTCCTCTATATTTAAAACAACACCTGTCACCAGGCTGTATTTCATCCCAGCCACGTCACCTGTCCCCCTACTGGTGGACTCCTCGTTTAGCGTCTGTCCCCATCCCCTCAGAATGTCAGCTGGGAGCTTGTCTGTTTCAGCCGTCACCAATCCTGCAGCCCCTAGGACAGTGCCTGGGGCACAGTAGGCACTCAAAAATATCTGGTGGCCAGGAGGGGATGTGTGACAGTGTGTGAGGCTTTGTTGCCTAAATTTTGGAGGTCAGAGCAATCTCAGGTGTGCTACCTGCCACCTGCCAGCTGTGTGACTTGAGCAGGTCCCTTCAACCTCTTTGCTTCAGTTTCTTCAACTGCAAAATGGGAAGAATCGCTGTACGCACCTCACAGGGTGGCTGTGAGGATTAACCAAGAACAAGTGAGTCCTGGTAAGTTAGAAGCCTGGCCGGTCCTGCAAAGATGCTGTGCAAAGACACAGAGGCGAGAAGGTGGAACCCCAGGCCATGAGGGCCCAGGGAGGGCTTACCTAGGAAGGAGACTTGCACGGACTCGCTGAGGTCTGACAGCTGTGGCTGCCTGTGCTCGCCCAGCACCCTGTACTGGCACCGGAATGTGCCCCCTGGAGCATCCCTGCCACTGCTCAGGTTGAAGGTGACCCTGAGCTGGTCTGTGGGGGCCTGCAGGAGCTGGACCATCTGTCCCCCACAGTACAGTGTGAAATTTGCTCCCGGAAAGCCCTTGGGGGCCATGCAGGCGATGTGGATGGGGTCCTCTGGGCTGCTGGGGTACGGGGGCATCAGCAGGATGGACGGCGCTGGAATCGCCAAGGAGCCTGCAGTGCAGAATAAGGGAGCCAGGTGGGTGGGCGGTTAGAGCAGAGGCCGACTTGGCTGTTTGGCCTTGGGTGTGTGGCCCACCCTCTCTGGGTCTTGGTTTTTATGTACAACTGGAGGCCAGTCATACCTACCCCTCTGCCATGCTGAAGGGATTGAGTACCTAATACATGGTGAGGGGTCACTGCAACTGACTCTTCTGATGTTAGCAGCAGTGGCTGCTGCACAGCAACACAATTACACTCCTTTATGACTTTGATTGACAGCACTGACTATGCACCAGGGCCTCCTTTAGGTGCTGGACACAGAGCAGTGAATGAGACAGATGGATGGACAGACAGTGACGCTAGCCTCAGTGAGCCAGCGTTCTCAGGGACATGAGGGGTGCTGCGTGGCACACCGGACGGCAATGGGAAGGCTGCCTTAGCTGGGCTGGCCGTGGAGGGCTTCCCTGAAGAGGTGGCACAGGAAAAGCTGGGGGAAAGCATTCCAGGTAGAGGGAACAGCATGGGCAAAGGCTGGGAGGGTGGGCAGGGCATGGAGGGTTCAGGGAGGACAAGGTGGCTGGAAGGGATGAGAGAGAAGAGGGGCAAAGCAAAGGGGTTCCATCTTGTTCCCAGACTGCAGTGAGGAATGTGGATCTTGGGGTACGGCTTCTCGCAGGAGAGACCAGTGTCTCCCCACTGTCCCAGGCTCCTGAGCAGAGTGTGTGGTGCAGTTGTGGTAGGTACGAGCCTTCCCTTGTCCAGCCTCTAGACCTTGCCTAGCCTCCCTTCTACCCCGCAGCATAGCCTCCTGCCGCCCCAACCCCGGGGGTAGGAGGCCATGCAGGGCTGAGTCATGGGGTGTGGGCCCCACCATCTCCAGCGGGGTGGCGTTCCTGATACCCTTGACATGGGGGCCACGAGGAGCTCAATAAAAGAAAGCCAGAGCCCTGGGGCCTTTCCAAGGCCCTGGGGCCAGCCTGCCCGGGCTCAGCTTCCTCCAGCACCTGAGGAGGGCAGCCCCTCACTGCCTTCTACCCCTAGGGCACAGGCCCGGTGGGCAGGGGTCGGGGGAGCAGGGCCGGGCGGCGGGCTCACCGGCTGCAAAGAGCAGGACAGTCCAGGGCATCGCTCCTCCCGAGTTCGGCTGGGAAGTCTGGCTGGGGCCAGCGCGGCCCACGGCTTGCCGCCACCTCCTCCTGCGGGGCCAGAGCAGGGAAAGGAGAAGCAGAGCTGATTTGAGCCGAGTGTTTCCTCACCGGCAGGAAGTTGCACACACATACTTGGGCGCCGAAAGGGCCTCGCTCCTTTCCACACCCCTTCCAGGGACACACATCAGACAGACCCTGGCACCTCTTTGCACCTTGGTGGCCACAGTTCTGCAGATGGGAGGGACAAATGGACCAGAGGGTCGGGGGAGGGGCTGTTCTTTTTCTCCCCACCGATCAGAACTCCTGGGCGTGAGAAAGGGCAGGACTGTGGGCTGCTTGGGAAACCCATGCCCAAGAGGCAAACCCGGGCCCAGCCAGTGCCAAAGCTGAAACAGGAGTGGGGCGGAAGTTGGTAGGGCATGGTTGGTAGGGCGGGGCTTCCCCTCTGTGCCCTGGGGCAAGACATGGTCCTTCTGTGAAGCCTTGGCTTGGCTGCTCTGCAGAATGGAGCTAAGAGCAGCAGACATTACATCTGAAGAACTCTTGGCATGAAGTGCAATGCCTGGTGAGATGTGAGGGCTCCTAACGTGAAGTCACAGCAGAAAATACAGCCTCAGGAGCTTCATTAGCTAGGTGAAAGACAACAGTAGCTCAACTGAAGAAACTGTAGAATTTGCAGGATAAACTGCCTCCCATTTACAGCCCCGAAATTTCCAAAGGTCTGTCTTACTAAGGTTTGCTTTGGCCTCCCTAGATGTTTCTGTCCAAGTAAAGCAGATCCACCTGGTAGTTTATACAAGGATAGGACAAGTTTGGTGACCATATTCACCAAACACCAAAAAGGGCCACCAGAGTGGACTTTTTTCTTGGGATACAGAAAGCTCATTCCAACCTCAGGGCCTTTGCACATGCTCTGTCCCCAGCCGGGGACACAGTTCTATCAATCTGGTCAAATCTCACTTTTCATTCAGGTCTCAGCTGAAGTATCACTTCAGGAAAATCTTCCTGGATTTAGAAAAATTCCCTTGCTGAATTATCTTGTAATTTTCTTTTAGGACAATTAACATGCTTGTGCTTTTAAGGAATTTGTCCATTTCATGTAAGTTGTCAAACATTGGTATAAAAATTGTTTGTTCTCCTTTATTATCCTTGTAATGTCTGTAGGGTCTGTAGTGATGCCCCCTCTTTCATGCCTGATAATGGTAGCTTGCATTTTTTCTTTTTCTCTTGATCAGTCTTGCTAGGGGTTACATCTTTTCAAAATGCCAGCTTTTGGGGGCTTTGTTGTTTTTTATTTTGTTTTCCATTTCATTGATTTTTGGTCTTCTCTTTTTCTTCCTTCTATTTACCCTGTGTTTCACTGACTCTTCATTTCCTAGCTTCTTTAGAAGCTTACATCACTGATTTTAAAAACACATTCTAATGTAAGCATTTAAAACTATACATTTTCCTCTAAGCCCTGCTTTTGCTGCATTTCACACATTTTGATATATTGTGTTTCATTATCTTTAAGCTAGAAATATTATTTTCCTTATGAGTGTTTTCTATGACCCATAGGTTATGTAGAAGTGTGTTGTTTAATTTATAAATATTTTATCTTACTTTAGTGATTATTAATTTAATTCCTCCATGGTCAGACAGTATACTCCATATAATTTGAATCCTTTGAAATTTGTTGATAATTTTTTTATGGCTAAGCATATCTTGATCCCACAGTGTATATGCATGTGAATGAGAGTACACTATGCAGTTGTTTGATTAGGTCAGGGTGGTTCATAGAACATGCTTGGATTTATTGAATTTGTCCAGCTCTCTCCCTCCAGGTGTATAGAGATGGGGGTCAGTGGAGTCTGTGCAGTTTTCCAATGCCTACTACACAATGAACCATAAGTATTTCTTGATTGTCTGACCTGAAAGCCCCCCAAAAATGCATTCAGACTACTTTTGGGCTCTATTCTGGTTGTGTAGGAGACTTAAGAGTAAGAGAGATCCCAGGGTCATTTATTCCTCCAATTGTTTACTGACTGTCACCAAGGGCCCAGAACTGAGCTGGGTGCTAGGACATAGTGATAAATGAAACAGCTCCTGCCCTTGGGGAGCTCAGAGTTTGGTGAGAAAGACAGACTAATAGACAATGCAAGTCCAATGGGTGAAGTGCTTTGATGGAAGCAGTCACTGAGGGCGTCTCTAAACCCAGCTTCAGCAGGTGCAGGGAGGGCTTCTGGGAGGAGCTCCTATCGGACTCCAAAAGCTTGAGAAGGAGACAGAGGAAGACCTTTTCAGTAGAGGGAGCGGTATGTGTGAAGGACACTGGCTGTATATAAGGACTTCACCCTGGGAGCATGTAATATGCTGCAGGAGTCCATAACCCAGAAGTTTGAATACAGAGAAACAGCCACAATACCTGTACGGATCAGCTACCACACAGACGGCACCATGAAGAGGCGTGACTGAAGAGTCACAGGCAAGGTGCAAGGAAACCAGCAAGGGATGATGACTCCCTGGGCTCAGGGAGCTATTACCAGCCCAGGCCTCAGGTTCCTGGTGAAGAAACAGTTCTGGGACTTGGAGGGCACTGGAATTGCAGGTTTTGGTAAGAGAAATGCAGACCAACAGGGGGAGCCAGGGCATATATTCTTAGACCTTTGTCTCTTTGTCTCTCAGATCTCCTACCAGGGCCAAACCCAGCTAGGGGTTTGTGGGAGGAAGACAGCCAAGTTGACCCCACGTGTAGAGATTAGTCTCCTGGGGCATGCAGTGGTGCAGAGAAGGGTGGAGGATGGCGCTGGCGGGGCGTACAAAGACTACCTGGCACTCACTTTTGGAATCTTTTGGTCCTAATTCCAGGGGCTATCTGACCTCCAGAAGCCAGTCTGCAAACTCCAGGCTGATTCTAGGAGTGCTATCAAGGGAAGAGGGCCCCTAAGTAATGTGGACTGTGCCGACTGCTCCCGTATCTTCTCTCTCTCCACAGAAACATCAACAAATCAGGCAAAAACAGTCACATCAACTTTATCCAAACTCTGGAAAACAGCCAGTTTTATGCCAACTAAGCAAATGCTGAATCAAGAAAAAGGCAACTTGAACAGAGCAGGAAATCTTTGTGGTGCTTTCCCTGCCTTTCCTCATCTCCTTCTCCAGCATAGTGGAGTTCTTGAAAACAGCAGCCATGTCCCCAGTATGGGGCTCTGGTCCCTGGTTCCTGGGGCTCACAGTATTGGGGTTGTCTGTCCTAACATGTCTGGGAGCTACCTGTGGTACTGAATCAAGGTACTTGTCTGTGAACTAAGAATGCATTCCTGGAAAACACTGTAACGCAAAGGAAGAGCCACAGCTGCCTGGGGCAAAAGATGACAATGCACACACCAAAGCCGGAGGAAAAGCTGGAGTGAGAGTGAGTTTCTTTAGGCAATTATGGCATTCGGAAGCACCCATATATACTAGGGAATTTAGAAAGCAATGTGCATGCCCAGGGCAGGATAAATGCTCAGAAAAATACCTGAGAAGACCCTAAGCTTTCATCTCTAGGATGAGAGCAAGCAGGAAGCGAGGGCTAAGGCAGAGTTGTAGACACTTTGGCGAGCAGTGAAGGAGCGCCCCAGAATAGATCTGCAAAGAGTGGGGGAGGTTTTCTTCTCTCTTCCTTTTGCTCTCTGTAATATATAAGCAACCCTATAGTTCAACAAGATGAAGACAGACAACCCGATTTTAAATTGGACAAAAGACTTCGCGCTATAATGAGTTATAAGGCAGGTGTATTTGATCATCACATGACCAGATATGTATTTCCCAGGTATATTTGGTCTTCATCCACAGTTCCTAAAGACACTGAGGAGTCTTAAAGGTGAAATGGGTGTATTGTAACGTTAATGAGAGACTTTTGGACCCCACAGAGGGGCAGGGGCTGGAGGCTGAATTAGCCAATGGCCAATAATTTAGTCAATCATGACCATGCATCGAAGCCCTCATAAAAACCCAAGAAGAAGCCAGAGACAGGTAAGATTCCTCAAGGGAGGAACAACCTAAGACAGGCACAGTTGCAGGGGGTCCATCAGGTGAGAAACTGGGTATCAACAGAGGTGAGGCTTAGAACCTCACCCCCCGTTATGAGAGAAATCTTCTGCATCCGTGGATGTTTTGTTGCCCTTGTCTAGCTTGGATTAATACTTAGTCTATAGGCACAGACCTGATCATCTACATTTGCCCTCTTACAGCACTAAACTATGTTTTCTACCTTTATCTTGCATCGACCTACCACTTCAGCATTTTATTTAAAAAAAAAATAATAATAATAAGGGAGAAATGTGGGATTCACATATAAATCAAGTATAAAAATCAAACGAATAATCATATCTGACTTGATTGTTTATAGTTCATGATGCGTGATCAAAACTGAAAGTGTCTGTGATATGACTGCCGTTGCACTGTTCACCATGGAAGAACTTATTCACTATGTAAGAACTTGTTCACCACGTAAGAACTTGTTCGTTATGCTTCAGAAGATTGGAGACTATTGAGAATTAGGCGTGGGGTTGATTAATGATTGTGGATTGAGTCCCCTATACAGAATTTTATTGTTGTTAACAACCATTTGATCAATAAATATGAGAGATGCCCTCTC